ATTTATTACACTTTAGATGACAGCAACTAAAAAAATCCTCAAAACCTTCACAGACTGGGAAAACTCACTAAGCAATTCTGCAGCGTGTAAGCCAATTCAGAATCCCACTGAGTCTCCAACAAGTTATCTTTCCAAAATTGCTCCTTGGAACTACAACACAAGAACTCTCAGTGAAGTTTCTGCTTCCCTGTCTCTCTTCCCCAACACCTGTCAGTGAAGGAGAACACGTCTGTCGGGAAAGTTTTAATGAGCTGATGCACAACTACCACCAATATGGTGATGCTCTATGCAAACACAGGAGTGTAACAAGAGGAAAGAGTCTTCAAGTATTTGATCCACCTGACTGTGTGGTTACTACAGTCAGAAAAACAGACAGAGAGTTCCTGACAGTCCAGAGTTGCAGTTTATGTGAATGAAAAGAGTGACAGAAGTCTCTGTACAGTGCAGGACTGACTTATGATTATGCTGTAAAATGCCAACTTCAGATTATTAGGGGGAGAAAAATCACAGATGCAGCATTAACTTTCTCATGCCAGAAGGCATTGTCTGTTTTATACCCACTAATGTGCCAGATTGGGCAAAATCTGTTTCAGCAATTTAAACTGTGCAAGGTGGAAAATGCTGCAGACCTCTTTGTTAAAACACTGTTTCTTCTACTGCAACAAGCTATAAAACTTTTGTCAGACAAAAAAAAAATAGCTACTACTTGTATATTTTAAATTGCTACACCTCAAACTGACAATGGCACAGAAAGATTTAAAATACTGCCCTCATTCTATTCTAAACTTGTGCCATTAAATCACAGTGAACTACCTGTATAAAATTTTAAAATTAATATTTTATTACATTATTTGTAATAATATATTCAGTACATACATATTTGCATTCCACAGTGCTTCTGACTGCTAATGTCCTTTCTAGAGAGATGCCTCAACCATCAGAACCATATGCTTGCAAATTAAAGAAATAAATTTCAGTGTCAACATGAGTGAGAAATCTGTGCTCCTGTTATCAGTACTTTTTAGTCCACTACACAGACCTAATTCATCCCCCCAAGGCATCTTTCACATGATTTTACTCAGAATGGCCTCTGTTGCTGCTAACGGCACTTAAAAAGAATTAAGAAGTGGAACGCTTACAGAATTTGGTATGTTAAGTGCTGAAAAAAAGCCCTCATTATTTCTGAGAGAGACTATTATGTATTATATTATATATGTTATATATTATTATTAATAATATATTATATATCATATTATATATATACCACATTCACAATTAAGCCCAACTTGACATGACTCCACACAGCCCAGTAATTCCCATTCTTGGCAACAAAGGTAAAAAGGACATCAAGAACTATTAAATTTTGGAGGAGCTGGATATGATGTTCAATCAATGAGGACATAGTTATGTTTTATTTTTATGTTTTATTATTTACAGGCACCATGTTTAAACCATGAACTGTGATTTAAAACTGTAGCTCTTAAAATCTGAATTTGTTATTATAAAATAAATGGCTAATTTATTTTAATCACCTTCAAACCCTTTGGAGTGTCAAGCCCCTCAGAAACCATAAAAATGAAATAGGTAACACAAAATTAAGTCAAAATGTTTCTTTTCTAAGGAATTGCAAACTATACTTTTAACAACATGACTTAGTCTAGAATTCTAGACATGTTATCTGACTTGTAAGGTACCTCCTAGTTTTGTTTGGAAATTTTGTTTTACTGAATCCCAAAAAGGGATGGGAATTTGTCAGGTATTTAATAAAAATCACAGATTATAAACTGGTAAGAGCAAAGACCATGAAAAGCAGCAACTGGAATAACAAGTGAAGAAGGTAGAGACATGAAAAAAAGGCTTTGCATAGTCTCAAAGGGAACAAGAAGAAAGCACTGAAGACTGGGGGAAGAGCACTGCCATCAAAGACTGCAGTTCCTCACAATGTTGTGATTTTTTATTGGTTTTCCTTTCACAGTCAGCTACAAGTAAGATAAAATGCTTTTCCAATGATCTCGATAGTTAATCAGTTTGACCTTTGCTTATACCTTCCACAATAAAACTGTTTCCTAATTTATTTTTCCTTTTCATAAACCTCTAGGCTGATCTTCCATCTTTAAAAAGATAAAATATTTTATCATACCTAATATCAGATTATTGAAGATTTTAGTACATGCATGGGCAGTTCATCTAATCCCATTGACCTTTTCATATTAAAATCCAGTTTTATGCTTTATCTGTTCTTTGTTAAAAAAAAAAAATAAATCATCTGTTGCTCAGATGCTGGTTCTTTATTCTTACATGAAATTAAAGCCAAAGAGGACTTACTTTTTATTTAAGTGGAATTGAGAATACGCATCCAAGATTTAAAAGAAGTTGAATGCGTTAAGTTTTGTATTTGGAATGTTAGGTACTGTTCAAACCACGAAGCTGCTTACTGACTAAAAAGTAAAAGCATACCTCTCAAGTTATCAGACTGCCACCTGCTTAGCTCATATTTCTTTATTTAAAATTCATGCAGAGCTAATATTTGCTGGTAGATTTCCTTCTATTTTACATATAACTAACTGATGCCAGTGCCCTCACATCCAGCCAGTTTATTCCAAAAGAGGCTTCCCACAGGAAAAATAAACCTAACTGTCCATCCCCGAAACCACTGGTTTATAAAACACCAAACAATAAATAGGAAGTGAAAATCTCTTCCACGCAAAGCACGTGAACTTCCAACACAGAAAAAACACCACATGTGAGAGAGCAGATGAACATTACAATTAACAAACCCCAAGAAGTACCATGGGGAACAGTTGAAGCGAGATGCACAAATCACATTTATTCTGCCAAAAATCTGCTTTGCTACAGAAAGCAAAGAAGGGCTGAAAGGGAAGTTTTGGTCATTAAAATTGAACAGTAATTTATGCTCTGTTAGAAGTCAGTGCTGTTTATAGGAAATGTAATGAGTTTTTATCTTAGGGAATGAAACAAATCTAACTGCAATAAAATCTTTTTCATATGTATTCTAAGCATCAGGATTATTAGCAAATTTGCTCCCATTAATATGCTTTCTCTGTTTAGGATGCTACAGCTTAACCTAACTTTACTGACTCTTCTGGTTTAATTCCTGAAGTCAACTTACAGAACATCAGAGGCTTTGAATCAAACTATAAAAATCTCAAAGCTGCAAGGGCAAGTGTCAGCCACAGAAGAAAATTCATGAAAGATCATCAAAAGCGGCTGGTAAACCATAAGACTTTATAAAGAAAGGGAGAAAAAGATTAAACTTTAAAAAGTCACCTCCAGAGAAGAACTATCAAGTACTAGAAAATATTTTTGGAATTTAGATAAGATGCCTAACTGCTACTTGCATAAATACAACTAATGAATATGTAACTCCACCATAGAACAATAGATTATTCTGAGTTGGAAGTGACCCACAAGGATTATTGAGTCCAACTCCTATCTCTGCACAGAACAACCCCAAGAACCACACCATGTGTCTGAGAGTGTTCTCCAAATGCTTCTTGGACTATGTCAGGCTTGGTGCTGTGACCACTGCCCTGGGGAGGGAGCCTGTTAAGTGCCCAACCACCCTCTGGGGGAAGAACTTTTGCCTAATATCCAACCAAAACCCCCCTGACAGCTTCATGCCTTCAAGGCCAGGTCCAACACTGTCCCCACAACAGTGCTCAGGCAGAAGCAGCCAGCTGGGTGCTGTTTAAACATGCACCTTTACTCATATACATGGTACATTCAGGGCTGTGATGTACAAGTTCTCTGTTCAGTCTCTATCCTGCATTAAAACACAAAAGCATCCTCAACCCTGTACAGGAAGATCAGTTCCATTTTGTCCATGCCAATGAAGAATTCAGCAGCAAAGAAAAAAGCGAGGCATGGAGACATTTAATCAATAGGAATAAAATTTGGTTTATATGCAGGAAAAAAACCAACCTGGAAAAGGACACAAAAAGTCTGAGAAACAGTAAAAAAACGGTATGATAAAGACACTCACTCAAAACTGTGAAGAAGCCTGAGATGAAACAACAGCAAAGTTTGGTTGATTGATGAACTATTCCCCAAGTCCTTGGGGAAACAAGAGTTCTGCTCTTAGTAAGCAGAAGTTTGAGGTAGAAGAACACAAACTGAAAGCAAATGATGGGCTAACTAGAAGAGTGTCTATCTAACAGCTAATCACTGCACTGAAGAGAGACACTGACTGATAACACTGAAAAAAAGACAAAAATTTGCAAACCTGGATAGAGCTAGTGGAAATGTGTATCCAACTTCTTCTCTCTTTTCCTTCATATTCTTGTGCTCCCCCAAGTATTTATCTTCTGATGAATCATTAATGCCCAGTCAAAATAGAAGTTTGTGTTACCTTCATCAAGCACTATTACCTACCTTCACCTTTGACAACTCAGCAACAAGTGTGCAAGGTAGTACAGTCTACTCCACATGAAAAATCTCCAAAAAATGAATTGAGCTTTCTATCACATTCACCAGCCTATGCTACTGACTGACCAAAAATAGTCAGTATTAAATACTGACTGTGTAGTACAATTAAACTACATGAATTTCATATAAAGCCTGGGATTCTGACAAAGCATATTTGTTATTCTCTATCAAGTGTTAAAACAAGAACCATGCTCTGTGTGAATGCACATGCACACACATGGTGTTCATTCTCAAGTAACGAGACTTCAAAGGCTTAAGAGTAAACTAAACATCATGATTATACTGCTGACAAAACTTCTGACGTGATTTTTCTAAGTACCCCACTGAAATGCACTCTATTATTTTCACAACCTACTTCAGAAGAAGAGTTGTTTTATTACTGGTTTTTTCCCTCTTCACTACTTCTCAGGTCAATAAAAAGCAGAAAGGCACAATGCACATGGATTATCGATGCTTACAGGTTACATAATCCAACAATCTCAAATGAAATGTTGGAAGCATTTAATGTCAAAGCAAACAGCTATTACCTTTAGGTGCTTTATCTATTTGCTTACCTTTACTTGCACTCTCAACATGCTGCAATTCATCCGGAAATTTTAAGATGTCCCTGTAATTCTCCTCACAGATTTCTGCCAGAAAATGCAACAGGGTTGTTTTCTGATCTGATGATTTAGTATCTCGAATCTAAGAAGTAAACACAGGAGAAAGGAAAGAGAAAAAAATATAGATTTTTTTTTTTAATAAAATGTTTAAATAAAGTGAATACTGAAGATGTAACTTATTAGCAAAACTAATGAGTTACCTACACTGGTCGCCTGTAAATTAAACAAATTATTTCAAAAAGAAATTTCTTGAAATCTTCATAATTTAAGGCTATAAAAGGAATCTACCCTATGGAGTACTTTTTAAAAGAATAATTAATTTTGATGAGAACAAAACCTGAAGATAGTCCATAAAGTTCAGAGATTTTAGCATTGCCAGTTCAGAATGCTCCCTTTGATAAAAAATAGCTGTGAACAAAGATTAAAGAGAACAGAATTTAGTTCATTCCTTCAGTGCCGCAACTGCCAAATCTCTAAAGGAATCCTTCTGAAATGCTGCATAGCTGGACATCATGCTAATAGTCAGAATTTGCACTTTGACTAGTCAAGTTAAAGTAATTCCTTGTTGTAAATCCACAATTCCTTCTTGAAGCAAAATCTAAAACATGCTGCTTTAGCCTAAAGATTTTGAGACAAATTCTATACAGACACATGAATTAAAAGCACCCCGCCTTACTGAAATATAGAATGACAATAAAAAAGCAAAGATAATCCCGACTGCAGGTAAAAGGAACTTAATACATCCAGGTTTATTTATGAAAAGCTGCAGGAAAACTGTGTACAAGGCGAAGTAACAGGTAACTGCATATTTTCACTGTCCCCTCAACTGCAGAGACACTTCTTAGTGGTCCAAAATAAAACATTATTCTTGCAAGTGATAGGCTAATGGAGAACAGAGAGTCTTGAGAGTATTAACTGCTGGAATCAGTTTCTTATCCATAAAAAAATATGTCTTAAACAATTGTTAAAATATAGGGCCAGTGGCAAGTTTCCAAGTAAACATATGGCTAAATCCCATGGCAGAGCGCAGGTGTCTACACAGTGGAACATCATGAACTTCAGAGAATGAGAAAACAAATTTAAAATCAAATTTCTTAGTTTGCCCATTTTTATGCAGATATAAAGAATGAATGTATGAGTTGATTGAAGATTTAGTGGAAGTCGAGACTTCCTCTTATTCACAACGGCAATGGAGTAGGTGTATGTAAGAGTTTGAGATGAGTTTATTTCACTTGACATGAAGAATTAAGTAATACAAGTGTATCTGTAAAGAGTTGTTTTAACCGCATTTCACTAACTCATCTAGTGCAGTTCTCATACAGAAGTAAGCTACAACATACACAACAAATGAAATAAAGGATTTATTTAAGAAGAATACACAAATGCGTGTGTAAAATCTCCTATTTGTTTTCTCATTCTCTAAATCACTTGAAGTTCTAATTCTATAATCCTCATGACAGGCTTGCCATCGATGTTCAATTTAATAGAGGCCTTTCAGCTTTAAGGATTACCCTGTTAAGAATAAATGAGTGCAGTGGAAAAACAGGCTTTTAAAAATATAAGGTATTTAGGCAATTAAGAAAGCAATTTAATTCATACCAATTCAGCGATTAGAGAGTAAACAATGCTCAGTAATGGTATGCAGTTAAAGGGCTTTAATGTGTTACATACACAGAAGTTCTTCTGACTTGGAAAAAAAAAATCATAGATTTAGTGGCTAAACATCTGCATGGAAAAAAAAATTGCATTTCAATTTGTCTGTGAACAACAGTAGTGGGATTTGCAGCCTTTGATCTCTCTGACATCATCAAGTGGATAAAGCACTTTTTTTCTAAATGGACAAAATTATTTTGCTTTCAAATTGCAACAGAAACATGTTTTGTCACCAACAGCAACATTGTATCAACAAGAGTCAGTATTAGCACCCGCTGTGTTGTTTAAACCTGGAGTAAACATTCACTCAGATCTTAAACACCTCTGTCAAATTCACTTCTTTGGTCTAATCATAAACACATCTCTGCTAGTTCATCCTTATTTTCACCACAATGGATACAGATAGTTCTGTTTGATCTTGAGAATCAAATATATAATTTAAAAAGCAAATTCTAAGCCCACCAGTATAATGACAAAGGAAGAGAGGTGGGGCTTGAGTGTAGTTTAGCATATACTATTTAAATATTAAAAATAGAAATTAAAGGTAGGAACTGGTATGTTAACAACAGCAAGGTTGTGTCTTTACAGTCTCTGTATTCACGCACTATACTTGTATTCAGTATATACTTGTATTCAATAACACACATTATTTTATTTCTTTTCATATAAATGCAATAGTTTTTATATTCAACTTCTTTACTTACAGCAATTTTGCTTAATAAACATAATATTTCTTGACTTGTAAGCACTTAATGATTAAGCCTAATTTCTGCTGTTCTAGACATCATCCAAGTGGACAAAAGAAAAAAAAAAAAACAGCCTATTAAGTTCTGCTTACAAGACCAGGAGGTGGACTTTGATGATACTCATGGGTCCCTTCCAACTTAGGATACTCTATAATGCTATAATTCAGGGTAAATTTTTAACACTGTCGTGTTAAAATTTAAAAATAGAGGTTTTGAATCTATGGTCTTTCTTTACCTGAGAGACAGAATTTGGGAATAACACATTTCGTTTAAAAATAAATAAAATAAATTGTTATATCAGTGGCAGCTACAGAAAGCAGCTCCAGTGAACGTTGAAGCATCACTTGGAGGGTCAATACTCGCAGATTCATTGTTTGGGAAAGGATTAAAGACTAATGTACACAGAGGGTAATACTCGGTGCTCCCGTTCAAACCAAGTAATACACAGAGCACGATGTCCTGTAACCCAGAAAAAAACATCAGCCTAACAAAAACCTCCCTTGACATATAGTCCCTAAGTAAAGCATTCAAACCATGCCAATCATACCATAACCCACTTTCAGAATGGGTTTGGTCTTTTTACAGATGCTTCTGGATGCAGCTTTCAGGTGTGAGGGTTGAACGTGACAGCCAATGTGAGGAAAAATTTATGTATGAGCCATCACTAGAGTGACACTTTATTATAGCTATAAAAAAGCTTTCCATTGATTTTTTATGAGATTATATACCTTTTCATAACCCAGAAATCTTTCCCACCTTAAGAGAACAAGGGCTGGTACACAATAAATGTACACTCATCAGTAATACTCAGACCAGATAAACAGTTTGTCTTGTACTATTTGCACTATGAACAAAAAGTAACATGATATTACTTATCACATAAAATAGACACTGATGCACCTAGAATGCTACAAGAGCTTTATTAAAACTGAAGGAGGTTTGCTGTTAGTCTTCACATTAAGTCACCACCACAGGAACAGAAGGTGTACCTGCACATGCCTAAAGCAAACCTCTTTTCTTCCTGTTCCATTTCCATGAGGGTTCTCCTGCTGCAGCTGGGGTTCAGGAGAGCAGCTGGTTCCTTCTTACAAATTAAACAAACACAGCAACAGGTTGAAAGATATGCCTTGAGTGAATTACTACAGCAGCCTCCTTCAACTTCAGCACTTTTTCTGCCGTATTTGTATTTTTAGAGGGCACTTCATACTTAGGCAATCAAGATGCCCTGGTGCATACATGGGAATAGCTCCTCTCGCTTGCCAGTCTCGATGCAGCACCTGAATTCTGATGCTGATATCTTATTTGAACAAAATTAAGTTCTCTGCTTTCTGCCAAAGGTTGTTTACAAATCATTTCTATCTTCAATAACATAATACACTGCAATATAACATCCAGAAAGATAATCTGTTTTTAAGGATTTGCAATTACTATACAGGCATTAGCTTTTTAGCTCAGACCAGATAGGTTGGAATTTGTGCTTTCTTTTATTTTCTTTATCATGTTTTAATAAAAGTTGCTGCACAAGAACGCATTTCTGTGTATGAAATAACCAGCTCTGTTGTAAAAACATTTATTTTCCAAAACCAAACATTGGACCCAGATCAATAGTTGCCTTTTTTCCTTTTTTTTTTTTTCCAGATAATATAATGTAAGTACCACATCTACTAAATGGACAATTAATTTAAGATTGTTCGAGAAACAAAAACAAAAACAAAAAAAATCAATAAAAAAATCAGATTTTATTGAAAAGTGAATTCATCACTTTAGGATTCTGCATCTTAAGTGTGTGTATTCTGCACATAGAAATGTGTACACAGACATATCCTACCTTGCTGACAGCTGGCTCAAAAAAAATAAAAATTAAAAAGTTCCCTTATCATGGGCAGAAAGTCCACTGAATAATAGTATAAACCACTAGCCTAAAAAAAAGGAGGTATTATAACAAAATACAGAATAAAGACTCCCAAATTCCTCTGGATAAGCTTGAATGATGAAATTCCCCAGGAGCAGAAATGAAGACACCTTGAAATTACTCAAGGAAAACCTCTAACATAGTAGCAGTGCCTTCTCAAATTGACACCACACATCAAAAAAAAAAATAATTAAAAAATGAGGAAAAACCTTCCCATGTTCACACAGCCTTCAAAATTCAGTAGCACCCAGATGCCCCAGGAAGCACACACATTTAAGGCACAGGACACTGCCAAACAGCCCTTGCTCCTGCTGTTAGGTGTCACTTATTTCTATTACTGTCTTCTTCAGCCAAGAAATATAAATTAGAAATTTAATTTCACAGCAAGATTTCACTAAACAGGATGACACACTCCCCCTGCCATACTCACACATACACAAGTTTTCATTTCCTCGGTGAAGACCAATTATTGACCAACAATAAAACTTTGAGACTGTTTGAATAATGTAATAAAGCTGGTAGGTGGCTGTAGGCAGATACTAAAGCTGGTGCTTGTAAAAGATATGCCCAGTTGATATATTTTATACTGTTCACAACAGTTAAAACCCATAGTCTTAGTTCATAAACAAAGCCAATAAAGTCATCCTACTATTTTGGGTGGAAAATGGGAGGGTGGAATTTGAAAGCTACTAAACAAAGGAACCAATTGCAATTATCATTTGAAAATAATCAATGCACAAACAAAGTCATTACCCAAATAAAAATCTGGATACTTAAAAATAATTAAGAAAAAAAATCTGTTGAAAATACTACGTAAACAACTCTTATTTCTAAAATTAAACACCAATGAAGTGGAAGGCTACCTCTCTCAAAATGATATTAAAGCATGAGTACAGGAGCAAAACCATTTGAGGAAAAAATTAGTCTTGCAAAAGCACATTACTGTACAAATCTAATTCAAATTAGAATGGCAAATACATAAACCAATGAAAATGGGAGCTTTAAAAAGCAAAAACTATCTATTAACATAAGTAATAAAAAATAAATTTCAATTGCAGACAATGCATATGTCACACTGTCCAGGAACACTGATCTACATTTCCATTAACTTCAGTGACTTGTTCTGAGTTTGGAACTTGTGAGTGATAATTCATAATGTTCAATCAATACGTAGAGATATTAATGATATAATTTCACGTTTGGATCTTGGCAAGATCTTCTTCTATATTTCAACCACCATCACTGTCTGTGATTATTTTTAGCCATGACCTTATCACAAAATATACCTGGTACCTAAATACAACAGCACAGTCAACATTTTATTATATTACACAGAATATTTAAGTATTTTCTCTAAATCTCATGGGGGGGGGAAGAACAGAAAAGAACACTTCCCTCAAAAATATCTACTTTGAAAACAAATTTTAAAAGGTTAGCAAATGGATTTTGTTTCTGAGGGCAATGCTGAATTAAGTGAATTAAATAGTCATAGATTTCTGTCTCCGTTATTTTCAGAAGAATTTAGTTGTAAGCACAGGTAGCTGTGCTTCAGCAATTATTCAGTTCAGCAGAGAACAATTTGCAGGATTAGTCAATCTACATTAGCTGTGTCAACACATGAGACTTGCATTGACAGCAATTCATAAATCTATCACCTGGAGTGCAAGAACTTCTCAGACCTCCACTCTGCTGCAGTACCATTCCTGCAAAGTCATTTCCCTGCCTCCTTGGTAACAACTATTTTTCCACTTAAAACATTAATTTCCCTTTAGATTCCACTACAACCAGAAAGAAAATGCAGCATGAGATCTCAAGAAGATCCTTTACCTTGGCTTCTCTTTTAATAGTTATTAAAGAATAGAAATATGCTTCTCCTCAGATGATGATTTTTATTTTATCAGAAGTTGGCAACATCTTTGCATTAAACCACAGCAAGCAGAGTCTTTCCCTGCTGAAATATGTCAGATGACACTTGCTGGGTACATGAAGTATGATTTTGTCCCAGGGTTAAACCTCCTTGAGATATATATCAGGTCTCCTCATAATGCCCAAAAAAGGGACCTGAAATCTGGATCCTCTGATTACACAAAAAAAAAAAAATAAAAATCTCTGCAAGTTTTACACTAATTTTTTTTAATCTGTTTAAAAACCTGCATGTCTTTAAAATAAAGATACTTTCAAAGGTACTCTTCAAACTGAGTCAAGTTTGGATCAATGCCTTACACACATTTTACCATATAAACAAGCAAGCAGCGCACATGAATTTCCAACTACTTTAGATCCTGGAGTTCTTGATGCATCCCATATTTTGTCACCACAACTGAAGTTAAACTTTGGTTAAAGGTTAACAACGTCCATCTTAAATCCAAATACTTATTTCTATGACAGTGCTTGAGGGACAGCTGGGTAGAAGATGAGAAGATGAGTAACCAGAGCTACTCTTAACACACTCAGAGCTCTGTGTATATTCTATTGATAAAACAAGTAAACAAATTCAGATTGAAAAAAAATTGTTCCACTTGTGTACTCCAGAAAACTCAGAACAGACTTACAATTCAAGTGCCTTAAATCCCCATTGCACCAAGCCAGCTATAGCAGGGACCATCCTGGAAATGCTTACTCTGTATTTCCTCTGTATTTTCTTAATCCATTATGAACCACAGAGGTGCAGTTGGTAAATTACATTGACAGAACGTTTTCCCCTGCTTAGGATACTTTCTCATGTGTCCTGAGTTTCATGAATTTGCACTTCAAAGTTTTACAGCTTCAGCCTACCTTGCAAAGAAAACTGATGTTGAAGCCGAGGGACTGTGCGTTTCTGGAGCCAGAGTTCATGTAGTTTCCGAGGAACAGCACCAACTCCAACAGCTTACTGAAGCTTTCACTCTTCTTCAGCTCCTCACAAGCCATTGTCACTGCCATGATGTCAGGTTTGATGTTGTTCACGTGCTCCTCAAACATGAGCCGGAACAGGATCCCGTTGAGACGTGGCCGCAGCATCTTCACTGAGCTCATCTGCAAAAGACAAAACATTGCAGCAGAACATAAAAAAACCAGAAGCTTATTTAAGCAAAATAGTTTGCACTAAAAAAAAAAAAAAACCATCATGCAGCCAGGAAGTCTGTGTGTTTTCATTGCCTATCTGGCATTTCCAGGAATCTGTAAACTGCTCACAGGTATCTTTCCCCAAACCATACACTTTGCCTGAAAAAAATCAGTAAAAACAAGAAAGTGCTTTGTGATTCCAAACCATTTAACTTGTCAATTCCAAGCTCACTGGTAATAAATGCCCACTGCCAAACCCCTTGTTCCCAGCAAAGACAATTCTACCAGTTCACAAGAACCAAAGATCAGCCTGAAAGTACAGGCTGCAAATATTCTGGAGGTGGATAAAGAGCTTTGGGCTGAAATTCATAACAACTTTTATATAAAAAACAGTATACCTAGAGAGACTAAAGTAAGGACATACTAATGGTATACTCTCAGTTCTGATCCCATGGCATTAGACTTCACAGATAACATACAGCCTACTTTACTACCTTTTAAGTAAATTTTGTAAAACTACTGCCCAGGACCCAACCACCTTTGTGTTTCAGACATTTGGCAAAAGGTAATACAGGACTAATTCCTTCCTGATCTGATAAAAAGGTGGGAGGTCATAAATCATGGTGTGGTAGCCATGTAATGACAGTGATACTGAAAAGTATCTACAATATTCATTAGTTTAAATCCCCAATACCAAATTCACTAGCCTAGCTACCAAAATATGGTGGTCTGTCATATTTTGCACAAGTGATCAGTTATTTCCTCCTACTTAGAACACTATAATTCACAAGGCATATTTAAATTAAGAGAAAAATACGTATTGAGCTCATTTAAGCCACTTAAAAACTTCCATTTAATTGTAAGAATGATTATCTTCCAAATCTAACTCCTCATTTTACTTAGCAGAATACAGGAAGATTTCTCCCCCTGTGCATTCACTATCAGTGGTGTTCCTGAAGCACTTAGAAAGAAAAGCTTTGTTATGTGACAAATCACAGATCGTGACCATGAAAACAAAGATTTTGGTGTGCCTCTGTCTCTGTTGTCCAAAGTTTTACTCTGGTTCTTGGAGGAACCAGGATTTTTCCACTGGTATTATCTACCAGACACAGCAGCAATAACTTGCACAGGAAAGACTTGAGTGGCCTGAATAAAAATTAATTCATTCTAAAATAAGCATAAATATGAAGGCGCTCCAGATGGTCTCAAACAATTCCTATGATCAGACTGGAACAAGGAAAAGGAAAGGATCAAAAAAGAAGCATTTCAGCATAACCAGAGATCTTTTTTTATAAGTCTCCATTGTCACAAATTTCTCTGTGAGCCTCTATAAGCCCAAATCATTGAAAGTCTTGCAACATTACTCTTCTAATCATTCTGTATTTCAGAAATATCATACTGAAAACATCTGCCTTAAAAGGATCTACTTACACTAATCTGCAGTAGATAGAAATTAAAATTAATCACATAATTTGCTTTAAGTTTTGTAGAACAATCTCCAATTACTGTTTTTACTCAAAATGACACAGAAAAAAAGTTGTCAAAAGCTTTAGATCCTGAAAACAAAATGCAGCAAAACATGTATAAGCCAATAGAACAGTGTGAAGAAGATTTGTGAAGAATAATCCTTGACAATACTTCAGCCAACTGTACTTTCTTCTTTTAATATTGTGTTTGAAGTGTCATGAAACACTGAGCATTTATTTGCTTTGCAAGGTAGTTTGACCACCAAACCAGCAGTAAGTTTTAATTTCATTTGCTGACTTGCATTATCTTTTAAAAGTATCTTCACAATTTCCCAAGAGCTGTTTCAGGTGGGTTGTTTCCTTAAAATTCAGAACGTTTTTATACACATATATATCAGATGATGACCACAAATGCCATTTTAGTTCCTCCCTCCCCACACTTCCCTTGTTTCCCTTTCATATGCCTGTTTCTAAATCCAGGTGTTCAGTGCCTGACAAACATACTGAACTTGGAGGGATCTGCTGGAATAGGTAAGGTGTAAAGACTACATTCACTTAGAAAAAAGTCTAATTCTTTATGGTTTCACAAAATTAGTGTCCAAGGCATATAAGAAATAAGACATGGAACAGCAAACATTGGCTTCCACCACAAATAGTTAAAGAAGCAAGAAAATGGGTATTTCTTTTCCAGCTCACTGTCAGTGCTGGGCTGCATGTCATTATTTCCCCTTCTGGGCTTTCATAAAGGTCTTGACTGAACTCTCTACCTAATCAAGTTCTTTATTCAGTTCTTTATGCTTTATTATCATCATTCAATTCTCAAGTCCTGTATTAAAACTAGGATCAAAGGCTATTGGAGAAAGGCAAAAAGCACAATTAAATTTGCCTCACTTACTAAGAAAAAGCTGACATTCCTCTAATACAAATTTGTCAACTTACTAAGACAACTTACCCTCTTACCTATATTATATTAAAGTTGTCTTTTTTTTTTTCTCTAGCCATGTCCTAGGAAGATTAATTCTTCAGCAGCTCCAGAAATTACAATGAGGCCAAACAAGTGGCAAATAAATTCAATTAAAAAAAAAAAATGAAAGACTCAACCAATGCAGGTATAATAAACTTGTATAGTTCTCCCCACTTAGTCCACCTTGCAGTCAGGACTGTTCTGGACAGCTAATCCTGGTCAAACAGGAAAAAAGGTCACAAAATACGCAATCACTATACAACTATGTTGTGAAACTTTTGCTTTTAAAATAATAAAAATGTTCAACTGGCACTGAAATGGAATTGCATTTCCTCACTAAGCTGCAGCAGTTCTCATATCATAAAAAACTTAACTCTTGAACAGAAGTTTTACATTTAAAAATCAGATAACATTCTGCCTAGCTTATTTCATGTTACACAACTGATTCAGTTAATCTATTTTTCTTGCTCTACTTCAACATCAATGCAAACTTTCTTTTATATGAAGTTGTGTTGCCTTTTTTGATCCCAGTATATAACTTCAAAAAGTTCCAATAACTAATTAGAATACATAATTGATTTTAACATTTAATCTAAATGAAAATGCAGTTCTAATTTTCATTTACATATCAGCTGAATATTAAGTTAATCGGTCTCTTCTAATAAGTTAATAATTTACTAAGTATGGGTTTTCTACACAAATTTTAAGCAACTTATTCCAATCTTTATTAAATTTGATGGGCAAAGTGATTATTCAATTAACATATCTTAATAATTAACATGCCTAAATTTACATACAAATAAGGGTACACATTTTAAATATTATTTAAGATAGGAATAAAAGAAGACAGACAGACTAACATCAAGGTTACAATTATTATTAATGCAAAACTCCAAACTTAATTGGACACATAGGAAAAAAGAAGTTCAGTCAGGTAAAGAGTTTACGTTCAGCTGTATTTCTTCCACTTCAATGGATAGTTCAATTAAACCAAAATCAGAAACAAAATCAGCATTTTAGTACTAGTAATACAGTTAGAGGCCTCTGAAAATAAGACAGAAGCACTACCCATAAAGAAAATACTGGTTTTTATTAAACCAGATGGTAAAGCTGAATAAGCAAACAAACTTCAGGAAACTTAGTTCCTTCATAAGGCAAACATCACCATTTGGAGATGTTTGACTAAGCAGCTTTTGTTAATTAATGTTGAATTAAATGGTTGAAAACTCTCTCAACTTTCCATAGGCAGTCATTCCTCAAAAATATAAATCAATGAAACAGTGATCTTGACTATATATTGGTGCTGTTGGGAAATAAGGATACTTTCATGGCTATTTCAATACAATCAAGTGAAAAAACAAGGACCACCTAGTTTCAATCCAGCAGTAATCCTAACTCAGATAAAGGCGAGATCTCCAGGTATATAAGTAGTATCCTAATCCAGAAATATCTCTATATAAAAGCTATAGAGAGCAATGCAGTAGAGACAGGCTGAAGTAGAACAGACAAGACAGTGATGATGTTTATAAAAGGGAATGTGTGGCAGAAGGAGGGGTTTTAAATTGCTACTGATCAATTAATAGATCATAATGTTTTACTACTGCAGCTCTTGCCATAAGACTACCTAATGTATCAGACTTCTACCAAAATTCCTCATCTTTGTTTTGAAATAAAAGATTTTTGGAACTTTATGCCATTTATTGGGGAAAAAAAAAAATCAGTAGGCTAAAGTTTTTCAAAAGAAGTCATTGATATCCTTCATTTCCTAAATCCTCTACAAAAATCTCATTAGACCATATTCCGTTACTTCCCCAACCAAAAAATAATGTAAAAAAAGAAGAAGAAAAAAAAAATCACTCAAAAGGCACTTCTGAAGCCAAATTATGCTCAAATCGGAGCTTTTTAGTAAAAAGCTGATTTTACTCTTCCCTTTTAGGAGGTCTCTATTCCTGTTTTAATGCATTTTAATGCACATAATGCCTTAAAAATCCAGCAAGAGCAAACCTGGCTCCTGTGGAGCTGGGGATAAATCCTGAGCACATTACAGAGGCATCATCAGCATCCTAATCTTTTGGACTGGCAAAGTGAAGTGAAAACAGGAACTAATTTGCCTAAGGCCTTATCAAGTCCTTGGAAGACCTAAAGTGATTTCCAAGTCCTGGGTAGTCCTCGGTATCACACCATCACCCCCAGCCTGGATTAAGGCAATTTATGCAAATTCCATAATTTCCTTCAGAGACAGGTTCCAGCCATTACAACACTCAATATCCCTACTTTTGCATTACAAGTATGTATTAAATGCTAGTAAAAGAAACAGAACACAATCTAAAATTTCAGCCTCGATATGAATCCATATGAATCCACCTCTTCTAGAACCATTTTGCAAGTCTGTATGTTTGTACATATGCACAAATATTTTACATGTATATGCACACTTACATATATATGTATATATACACATAATAAATATATGTACACAAACACAAGACACTTATGGGTATATTAACTCTTCCACCTGTTTACAGTTTTTGATACAAAACAAAAAATTTATTGGAGTTGTCAATGCCATGGAGTAAATGGGTCTTTTATGGACTCTTGGAAATTTAAATACTTGAAGCTCCAGTGTTCTTCATAACTGTTTAATAAACATTCAGGACAAAACAGACAAAAGACTTGGTCTAGCACAGGAGTGCTTGTTGCTTTTAATGGCATACTATAATTCCTTCCAGGAAAACACCTAGAATCATGGAATCATAGAACACCTTGGGTTGGAAGGGACCTTACAGATCATCTGGTTTCACCCCTCCTGCCATGGGCAAGGATACCACCCACTAGATCAGGTTGTTCAGGGCCCCACCCAAACTGGCCTGATATGTATTCAGAGATGTTTTGATTGTTACTCAATAGGAAATAGATAGTAACTTTTTCCTGCTGTAGGTCTTCCAAAAACACTAACCAAAATATTTTATCCCTAAAATTTTTCTTTTTACATGACAAAATGGAATTCTGCAGTTGATCATTGCATCAATACATACCACAACTCCAAACTGTTCTGGCTCAGCAAGATCATTATATTCATCCTTTAATTCAGCTAAGGCATTGAGTTCCTTCTGCTCAGGAAGATTCTTCACTAGGTTCTAAAACAAACAAGGTATTATATCAAATTTGTTATATTAAACTATATTAAAAATAACATGCTTAAAATACCACAACATGGAAATGCATGAGGAAATTATGGGAAGCTTATTTTATTTACACAGCTTTAACACTGTATAAACATCAAATCAAATCAGTAATTATTTAATACAGACATCAACTCCTCTGTTACAGTCTCTGATTTGAAGAATACCTTCTCAGTATTAAAAGGTTAGAGTATAATTTTTCAGGGCCTGACAGGATCAAGGAGTTTCGTCTATCTACATTCTTTTTTGCCCTAGTGATTTCATCTTGCTCATTAAATATTAATCAAGAAATAACTGGTCTGTGTAAAACAAGACATAACTAGAAAAAAAAATTACAATTTTTAGACATTCAAAGTAGCTGTGCACAAAATACACTTCAAAATACCTTACACAAAAAAAGGTCACCATCTCAAAATTGTACAGATCTTTTGGATGGCAAAAATACTGGAACTCAGTAAAAAGCTGAAGTTGTTTGCAATCCTATCCATGTCCCCAAAGAAATTTGTATTAGTTAGTATATGATCTTAAGATCTCAATACTGATATGCTAAATGTATTAAGTATTTATATTAAGACTGAAGAACACTTTGTTTTAAGAGATACTCAGCAGAAGTTTAGTTTGTATTTAAACTTTCATATATAGACCAATTGAAATCAAAACAATGTAATTCTTTAATTAAAAGAAAACCATTTCGATTCAAGCAAGCATCAATAGGAAAAGAATTATGAGACTGTTAAAAAAGCAACCAACACTGCAGAAGCATATTTTTTTCATATATAAAAATCCTAATTGGAGAAAATCTGCACTATTAGAGGTACAGATGTCTTATTTTTAGAACAGACCAATCTTGCCATCACTCTTGCAATATCCTTATTCATGTTGAGAATTTGATTACTGATCACTCTGCCAGGCTTGAAGGAGAAATCAAGGTACAACTTGGAGAAGCATCAGTCTAATTTGTCAAATTTGCAAGTGATAGCAAATGTAATTCTCCAAGCTGAAAGAGTCAAACATTCATCCACCTCCATAAAGAAAACTAAAGATGACAAGCAGTCTCATACAAAACATCCCTGTTACAGAGACATTTTTATACTCACACTAAGAAGCTGCTGAATGTCTCAGGAAGCAGAGTTCAATATACATGGCAGAGAGATTCACCTCCATGTCACACAATTGAGCTGTAGCTTTGTGCTTAAACCTAAGTATGTTTCCTTTCCTATTAACCCAAACTCATGTCCCACTCTACTACCACTGCATCTCCTTTTTTAGATACATATATAGATACACACACACACACATATATATATATACTTTCATTAAATGTGTTGAATAACTGAAAAAAAAGATAAAGCCTTCAGTGACCACATATTCAAATCCTTGTCAGCACTTCAGGAAACAATTTCATAATGTATTCATGATGATATGGGTTTACATAAAAATAAGGTAAATAACAATGGTTAACATAAACATGAAAAGGAATCTAAGGTTGACATTAAAAGGCTGAAACTATCAGTCACTACTTACTGTCCCAATGCCCTGAATTGCACTAAACATGGTGTTTGACAACTGTATGGTTACAAAAACTTACTCCCTCAAAGACAATTCCTCAAAGCAATTGAAAACATTTTTCCCTAGAGCATTGTCCTCAAGGAAGAGGTACAACAGTATAGAGTCTACCAGCTACTTAAACTCATGAATCCAATTTATTTTACTAAGTATTACACTGTAACTTAGAAAAGTGGCAAGAAACAAGGGCTTGAGAAGCAAAATTGAAAAAACACTTTGCTATTTGCTCAATTACGCCATACCCATTTCACTTCCACCACTTTGATACTTAAAACAAAGCAGTTTCTACACGTGCATTTTTAGCACGTGGGAGTTTTGCTAAGCATGGGAGAAAGCGAGGTTTGCTTTGTACAGTTTTTCCAATCAGTACTATTGAAAACTGTTAAACTGGTAAATTAGTTAATAGCTCAGTTGAAGATTAAAATACAAATAAACCAGAATAGACAGAACATGAAATAGATGATACAGCCCATTTACCCCAATATATTTCTAAGAATATCCCTTGAAACACAGAGGAATCTCTTCCAGGTTATCAGTTGCATCTCCCTGCTATTGAAAGTGGCTCTGCCACACCATTCCCCTCAGAAAGGGACCAATCTCCAAAGCCTTCATTTTCTGAAGATTATGGGCTGCTGAGTTTCTAGACAGTTGCATTCATGATGAACTCACATACATTTATTCTGGTGATAACATTACCTTTTACTTATGCAACTTCATTTTTCTCCCCAGTGCTTACATACATCACTCCTCTCCCCATACAGTTATAACATAGTCACATCCCTCACAGCTATTTATATTGCTGATCTAATCAAGCCAATCTTTCCTGCTTCCTTCTGCAGACTGTTTCTCTATCCCTCAATCATCTTAAGTAGTTTTTAAGTTCAGCTTCTCTATTTTAAATTCATTTTTGAGAAATGTACCAAGTATTTTAGATAAGGTCTCAGAAGTACCCTATTCAAAAGCATAAAAATTATCCTCTCGACTGGAAATCCTTGACCTGATACACCTTGCAATCACATTTGCCATTTTTATAGTGTATGAGGTTGGGCTGGGACCAAGTTAATTTACTTCATAGCAGCCCATATGGTGTCACTGTGACTTGTGACCAAAACAGCACTGACTTACCACTGGTTTAGCTACTTTATTGAGTTGCATTTGCCATAGAGATAACCAAGCTGAATCGCCTCTCTACTTCAGCTATCCAAGGCGGGGTTGTTTTCTCACCCTTGATTTTTGATTTTCCTAAACCTGTAGGCTTCTTAATCACATAACCTGACATTCCTGATTAATAAAAGAGTCCTAAATAAAATTAGGACTCTGTACTGAGACAACTCAGTTTAGACTCGTGTCCCTGGAATAACAAATTTACACATTCAAGAAAGAAAGAAAAAAATTAATGGAAAAAAAACCTCGGGGGCAATGGGACAAAGGTGCAAAAAGGAGATAGGGAAGGATGAAAGGATAAACTGAAGCTCAGTATGTTAGCTAGAATCTGAATCTGTGTATGATATTAAATAAAACAATTCAACACCAGTATTACTGGTGTGCTAAATCTTTACAACTTCTAAGCTTTACGTGCTTCTCTGTTGTACTGTTGTTCCCCAGAGATCATGAAGGGCTGTGACCCTCCTACAGTGAGCAAATCAGAGAGTGATGTAAAGAAGCTGTATTCCACACTTGCTTGTCTCCAGCTGAGAGACTTAAGAGCTCACAATGATACCAAACAAGCTTGAGAGAAGGTTTCATTTGCAGATGGTTTTTGAGTTGCAGCAGTATCCTGAAACATTCAGGTAATTTCATCTCTCACTAGAGACAAGCAGAGTTGTTGCAGAGCTGTTTCCACAAGAAGCCTAAATCTTCTTCAGCTTGTCTTCAAAGATGAAAAAACAGAATTCTCAGAGATTTCCTTCTGAAAGGGAAGCTTCATCAAGTGGGAGATTGCAAGGTGCTTCTGTTAATGGTATTTTAAAGACAGTTTTACAGCTACATGTGACCATATTCAACAGTAGAAGTGAAATAAATGAAGCAGTAATCACAACTGATACACCTGTAGCTGATAACCTTCTACATTATTCTTACTCTTGAATTCCTATACCTTCACATACTTTTATGTAAAAAACAAGCTATGAACAAAACCAGACATATTTTCACATACCTGAATCAAGGATTCACTCAGCTTCTCTTCATCAACCTCTAAAATGATATTTTTTATTTCTTCATAAGGCAAACGGAAAGAACCCAAAAATATTGCTGAAATTCAGTAATACATAATTAGAATCAAAAAGGTCAAAAAGATTGATATAAAACAGCAAACTTAATTTCTAGCAATTCAAAAATCATATCTTCATCTAAATTAGGTTTCACAATTAAGAAGTGTCCTATATCAAACAAATGCTAGATGAAGCACACTACTGCAATTTGACTTATAATGAATTTCTTCTCTAAGAAATGAGAGTATGACAACACTTGTAACTTTTTAATCAGCCTCAATAGCTCACTAGCAGTCTTACTTAGCAATAAAGTCTGATCTTTATTAATGACATTACTACTGAAACACACCTATTCAGCCACTAGAGGACTTGATTTATTATTATTTTTGCTTTCATAACCATGTATGAATAGCTGTACTATATTTACAATTGGATAAATGATATTTATGATATTCTACAAAAAATTCCACATCAAAAGGCTGATGAAGAGCTGGACAAAGAAAGAAAAAATGCCCTAACTCTACCACTTTTTAGGATAGCTCAACTTATACAAGAGACAACATAGAATCATAGAATCAGCAGGGTTGGAAGGGACCTCTGAGATCAAGTCCACCCCTTGATCCACTACCACTGTGGTTACTAGACCATGGCACTAAGTGCCACATCCAGTCTCATATAGTGCAAAGCCTTCAGAAGGGGAGTTCTCAAAGCAATTTGAACTCAGAATGTTATGAAATCTCAAAAGAGCCCCATTCAAAGAACTACAAAGTATTAAACACAGATAGATTAGCTTAACACTTTATTAAAGTGCTCTACATTCAGCCTAACTGCTATGGCTAATTATCCTGCATCCATGTTTTGAAAACTTGAAGTTTTATATCAGTTGTGTCATAGTTGATTTTCTGCTTAAGAAAATGTGCTCATGGGTTTGGTAATAAAAAAATGCACAGATTTGGTTTTACACACTTATTTGCCACGGGCATAGTTGGACTAGTGACATGTTACGGTATTTCTAATTCCAACAAAAAGAATCTACTACTCTTAATGATTGATTTCCTTCCATAATTAAAGAGAGAAGAAGTAAGTTAAATGAAAGAGGTGTGGCTCTTTTCCTTACAATTTATAGTAGTAGTATTTGCACCTAAGTTAGCCTATTTGGTAATATTTTTCTCTTTAAAATTCTAACCTCCACCAAGCTCTATTTCTCCATTACTCTAACCAGAAAGGACATAGGAATGGCCTCTCCACCCCAACCAAAAAAACCTATCAACACTGTGCCTTTCCCAAACTAGTGATCATCATTTAATTACACTTTTAGTCCAAAACAATTAACGAAAAAATCAATTTATAAAAACAATACAGTTCATTACCATTTAAGTCTAAATCATTTTTCCATTTTACTTTTTTTAATTTTTCCCCAAGTTGTACAGTGAATTCAAAACAGATGTGTTTAAACATTTCTGAATTTAAGACTCACTTTAAATCAGTAGTTTTTAGAAAAAACCAATGGCACAAGAAAAATTAGGAACAATCATGTGTGTATGTGCTAATTAGATATTGACCTAACGCATTTCACATCACTTACATAAATTTTGTGCGGATTTTCCATCCAAAACTCTTAATTCTTTGATCTTTTTCTTTGACTGAGCTGCTTTCTTTTCTTCCGATTCTTCTACTGGCTTTTTGGCTGGAAAAAAAGTATTTATTAAATTCTGATTCATTATTACAACTGTTCAATCTTAGCTAATAGAAACTCCATTAGAAAGCCATAATAAAGCATCTTTTAGAATCAGTTCAAGGCAAACTGACTGTACTCCCTCAACCTACTGTAAAACACCAAAAGACACAAAGTAAATTTCCAAAAGTAGAAGGAGCATGAAATAAAAATATGACAATGACCAATTTTCTCAAGCACTATCAAATAATATATAAATACTTTAACCCACAAAATTTCACTTCAGCTCCAATTTATTCCAAGCACTTTTAAAAATGCAGGGACTTGGTGTCACTTCAAAGCACACGAGTGCCCTCTGTTGATATATTAATAATATTAATAAGTTCTTCATCCCAAACCAACAACATTAATAATTTGATATTTATCACACCAAACAAAGGTATGTTTTGACTAATTATTTATACTGTCAGTGGTAAAGAGCAAAACCAACTAAGACAATAGCATACCTTTCAATTGATTTCTTTTAAATTAGCAATGATCACTAGCCTTATATTCAGCACTTAAAATTACATAGAAATGTGGAACTGAAGTACCTGAAATATAAGCTGATTTTTTGCATAATTTAAATTAGTCAATTTTCACAGAATTTTCTTAAGCATTAATTAAGTAAACCCATTTACAAGGATTTATATCCTTTTCAATATCACGTAACATATTTGGCACTGAAGGAATAGAATCTAAATGCGCTTAACAGTAATTGAACTTAATGAATATTTTAAGTCATTCAAAAGTAACTAAAAATTGGAAAGTCAAATTAAAATGAAGTTTCAAGCAGACTAAACACAGTTTTCTTCTCTGAGTACTGTTTTCTGTTGTACTGTAATGAGCTATCATGTGTTTCATTACAGGGATCTCCTAAGAAAAGATGTTCATTTTTAGAGTGAAGAATAACATAAAACCTGTTTCATCCTCTTTAATAATAAAAAAAAAGTAGAACTTCGAAAACAGATATTTGTCTCCTTACACACGTTACTACTTGTAAAGCATCTGGCACAAAGCAATTCTATTGGGTTTATACCACTGAACAATTTACCTTGGGCATTTTCATACCAGAGATAACTAAGCCAGTACCAGATAGTTCCCTCATTCCCAGCTACCACTGAAGAGTTTAAAGCAGGGAAAGCTAAACAGAAAAGATGATTCAACAAGAAAACAACACTTGCTCTCCTCTTGCCCTGCCATTTCTCTGCAATCCTAACATGACCAGCTGGTTTGGTATTTGTAAAAGCAGAGCTACAAATCACCAGATAATCCTTGAAATTCCCACCTGCACTGACCCTTTAACTATAATGAGCTGCCATTTAAAATCCTAAAGTGACACTACATCAAGTAATCAGACCCTTATCACTAATTGTTCTCAATTAAACAAGGAAATAAGACCAGGTACTCAACAACACAAACAAAAAACCACCCGAGAGTGAAAAATTAGTTGTCCCATGAGAAGGCAACAAACATTATGAGCTGTGTTATATCAACAGGAGGTACTGCAAAGCCTGGATTTGTGTCTGCTGAGACAGGTGAGAGAAATGATACAAGAAGATCAATGACCTATTCCAAACTCGATCCATTTAAGAATTAAACGCTCCAGATCTCCATATATGACTGAGTCTTTAAAGTGCTGAGCAACGCACACCCCCACAGCCCACTCAAAAAGCACTGGACTTGTCACAGTAGTTGGGAACCTCAAAGACAAACCTGCTGTGTAACCAGCTATGACAATAAACACACATTTCAGCATGTAATCACCTCAGTCTTGTGGCTTGCAAAACTGCAGAGGTAACAAAATTAACAAGAAAACAAGAGGAACAAATGTTTTCGTTACCAAATGTCAACCTCACACAAAGGAAACCTTCTTCCTACTGTGGTAAATCATGTAACCTGATTAGAAACAGCGAGAGAAACATCTCTGTGAGCAAGAGTTCAAGGGCAAAGGTGTTACACGAGCCCAACCTAAAACAGGCTTTAAATTATTCAGCTACTACAGTATCAAAAGAGGAAAAGTGGTTTGGGGTTTAAGCACATGATATTTCATACACACACAGAGGACGGGCTGAGTCACAATTCACAACAGGAACTCTGCCTGTACACGGCTAAGAACCAGTTGTCCTTATTACCTCTCCTCGCCTGTATCCAGGTGCACTCCCCTAGCGGATGTAAAACTAGGAATCACACTCAGAACACAGACCATCCTGTTCAGAAGTAATATAATAAACTACAGCTACTCTTACCTACTTAAGCCTGAAGGGCTATAACATCATCAGTTATAAATAATTCATTTTCTAAATATTAAATGTCTGGATTAAAATAATTTTTTTATATTTGAAAAAGCTCAGAGAAGATGTTCCTTCCAAAGGTTCCTATCTTTCCATGCATGAGATTTCAAAGTTAACTTCATGCCTATTCACAAAAAACATAGAAACACTAGAACCAGGTGCTTATGTGACCGCATAAAGTCACAATACAGCAAGAACACCAATCTTACCAACCCAAAACTCATAGACAGAAAGAGACATTATTAAAATTTCTAGATTAGACAACTACTAGAATTTCCCCACCACTGACCCACACTTGAGCTGACATGAAGCATCAGAGCTATACAAAGCCACACTCCTCCCTCTACTATCAGAGGCTCTCTCCCTCTGATCACACAGTTCATTTCAGCAGTGACTCAACTGTGACAGAGCTATGGATTACAGAATTATGGAAAATAATTAAATCAATTAAAAAGATACTTGATACTTTTCAGAATCAATAGACTATTGCTGACCAACATCCTGACCCTTGTCAGGTTCTCCATTCACAATCTCCTGCTTAAAGATGAGACACATTTTGGTTTGATAGCACAGAACCAGAGGGAGAGATGAAAGAAGGATTTTACAGCAAACAACACAAGGTAGCTCAGGAAAGCAAGTTGAAAAATCAATCTGGAAGCTCAAGCAGCTCTATTACTTCATACAGACCTTGAGTTTAGTGCTGTCATTATTCATCACAGCACTTTGATAACGGTACTGGTTTAGATCTTCCTTCTAAATCAGCTTTTTTTTTTTAAACCAAGTTTTTACAGGCAGCACCTAGACCTGGTGACTATCATACCCAAGTTTCCATAACAAAAATGGTCATATTTATAAACAAAGGTGTAGCAGAGGAGAAACTTCCTTACTTTCTGACCCTAACTGACTAAGTAATAAAACACTGAAAGAAAGAATTCAGCTCTCCAGCTCTGAAGCCTTATTCCACAGAGTCCAGTTCCTCCCCAACTCCCTGCTGAGCCATTCACATCCAAGCGCCCTGCTGAAGTCTGCTTTTCTTCTTTCAGAACATGACAAGCTTTTTCCCCACCTTGGGTAAGGCTTGATCCAAATTCAGCCTTCCATAGTCAACTGTTTAACCTCCCAGAACATACTAATCAAGTCTCTATCAGTCCTCCCATGCATTAACAGACCTGGAAGGATGGCAGAATCCTGCAAGAAGTGGTCAGGTTCTCTAGCAAGTCATTCTTTGCAACAGTGACAAATATCTCCTTCCAAATTCTCAGTAGAGAATTCCAGAAGTCCAAGTGTCTCATCCCCACAGGAAAGCAGCATGTGTATCAGAAGAGTTCAGACTCCAAAGAGCTTCTCAGGTTGTCCTCATATCACCATGTCTGGGATAACAGACAGAGCTCATGCACATCTGCTGTGTTTATGCAAAGCATTTTTAAATCCCCTACCCTACATCTCTGCGTTTCTCCACGATGGTTAATCCCATTTCATACAAAGTTATGTAGATGAATATTTGGACTCACATATGTATTTGGAACACATATGTACACACACACAAACAGGTACACATACATGTGTGGATTTTTTGTTTCCAAGAAATGGAGAAAATTCTTCTCTTGGTTGTTTAAAGTGATTTCCCTGTTCAGTTGGGAGGAAGTAAGAAGCAGGAGAACATTAAAAAAAATCCCAAACAACAATTAGCAGTCATTGAAATGGCAAAATAGCCACTAATATGTAATTATCTCACACCAGTTAGGCCTGTAGAAGGTTTTGGCTGGGATTACTTTTCTTTATAATTTACCTCAAGCAGACAAAAGAGGGAAAAGGAAGGAGAGCCAGCATGATAAAGCCAAAGGAGAGCATGTGCCAGCTTTAGCATACACAGAAGTCTTCCTGAAGACCAGAAAAGACAGATCTAAACACCTACATTACATAACTTTTTTTTTCTAACTTAGAGTTCTATTTTGTTAGTAATAACATATTTGTTTATCAGTGTTGGAGGAAATAGCTGATGCAATGTGCTGCAAGGGATTGTTTGCTGTTCATCTGACATTATCCAGCACATGTGCAGCTTGAGGGTGTCCCTTCAGTGAGACCTTCAGCTGGGAACTCATTTAATCCCACTGAACGTGCTCAGCTTGAAACCCTCAGAATCCATTTAGGGTTCAAAACAAAACATTATAGAAGTTTAAAACACATTAAGCAAGACTAATGATAATCATGGCATAGAACATAGGAAAACATGTTGAAATACTTTAGAGACTTAATTAAGAAAAATATTCTACCATCAGTACTTTTGTACTTCTGCATCAAAAAGAGTAAGGATACATGGTTCTTGAAAATTATCATTTCCCACCTGTTCATTAATTCAGCTCCTGAATGGCATTAAAAGTGGTCATGACAAATTTTTAGAAATATACATTATTTTATTTAATGTTATTGAAGCTGTTAAAGCATTTTACTATGAGCTGAAATGGCCGGTTCACATAAAATTCCTTTTTTTTTTTTAATAATTTTAATAAGAATTAATAGCAAAAACTGTCAGTCATGAATCCGACAAGAATGAAAATTAAAGGGAGATAAAAAGGAGAACACTGAATTACAGTGTGGAGAAAGGAGAGATTTAGGTGAACTTGAGCTTTAACCTGCCTTCACCTTAGCCTTAATCCCCAATTTCTGTCAACCCTCTAC